ACCTTCCTTCCGAGGAGTGGCTGGTGGGTTTGAACCGCCAGCCTTCTGGTTAGCAGTCAAGTGCTTTAGCCACTATGCTACCAGAGCTCCCAGAACAATGCCTGGCAAAGTAAATGAATTATGTGTTAAATGAATAAAGAGGAATAAAAAGAACTTCAAAGAACTGTAACTGTAGTGATTAGTATCTCCTCTTCCTAGTTCTCTTAGTAATAACCTGAAGTAATTTAGCTTATATTCAAAGACAGCAAGTGACAGGGGCAGAAGTACCGTCTATCAGGCTATTACAAGCTTTGCTGACTAAATATTAAGAGAATACAATAGCAAGGTAAGCCCCCTCCCCCATTTTAAAAATAAAAACAAAGGAAGAAGACAAAATACTTGAAATTTCTTTTATTACAGTAATAGATTTGTGTAAACAAAATGTAAGTATCATTAGAATTTTAACTTAAAATGTACTTACTATAGGACTCCTAACAGTGAAGTAAACCACTCTCCTGGTGTATTTCAACAGGCCAAGAAACTTTGAGAGAGTTACAGAAAATCTTCTGTTAGTGGACTGGTGATATTTTAAAAGAGCTCTGGTGATATTTTAAAAGAGCTCAAGTTTTCAGAAAGCTCAGGATTTGTTTTATTACTCTGTCACTTCTCATCAACTCTTTCTAATGTAAATCAAGGCTTAGGAGACTTAAAGCTTAAGGTTCTTAGCATAAGCATTAGGAAAAAGCCAAACACTGCCGGCAAATAATGGCCTTACAGTTAAGTGGAAGGTGTAAATGGATTAAAAAAAAACCAAAAAACAAAACTCACTGCCATGGAGTTGATTCTGACTCATAGCAACCCCCTTTGGGTTTCCAAGGCGGTAAACCTTTACGGAAATAGATTTTCCCAGTCTTCCTTCTGTGGAGTGGCTGGTGGGTCTGAACCGCCAGCCTTCTGATTAGCAGTTAAATGCCTTAGGCACTGAGCTACCAGAAAACAAACCCAAAAGCTCCCCTTGCAAATGGATTAGGACATCTTGACAAGCACACTACTTGTGGTAGTTAACGAATTATTGAACAGTATTCTACCAAAGAGTTCAGGATATATTAGAGGTATTTATCAAGATGACAGACTGCATAAAATTCACAAACTTTATTAACTATAAAAAACAACAAAGGCAAACAGAACGCAATGCAATCACTATGCTGAAAAATCATCCTCTTTTTTAAATCAAACAGCTGCACAGCAGCAGGTCAGGAGCAAAGATTGCCCTTTTCTTATCAATAAGACCTTCAATTATCACAGACATGGTATTTAGACACTTAAATATATAGTAAGGGTGTTCAATCTATCAGGAACATTCCATTATAGATGATTTTAACATGCAGTATTTATTTAGACAATAGGAGCCCTGATGGCATGGTGCCTAAGACATCTGATTGCTAACCAGAAGGCTAGTGGTTCAAACCTACCAGCCACTCCTTGGAAGGAAGACTGGGCAATCTACTTCTGTAGGGATACCGCCTTGGACATCCAAGAAGGGGTCGCTATGAGTTGGAACCAACTCAACGGCATTAAGTTTGTTTGTTTGTTTTGGTATTTATTTAGACCAGGAGTAAACTTTTAGACCCTATAGCTCTCAATATATGTAAGGTTAGTGGAAGAAAAAAAATTAGCATGAAAAAATAAAACAAAAAAAAAAAATCATATAAAAATACAATTATAGCAATATATTAGATATAACTGCAAATCTCTAAATAATCTAAGAAAAAGTTAACTAAAATAATCTCAATGTTCAGTTGCTGGCCACCTGAACTTGTATGTATTTTTTCCTGCTTTCAGCCCTTCTCCATGTAAACTACTGTTATTTATGAGATAAATCATACTCCAATCCATTTCTACAGAATTTGATATTTTCACTGATCTTGTTTGTATTCTGAGTATGAGACTGTGGGACCAGTACAAGTGATAATCTCATGTTTAAATATAAAGGAAGAACTCCAAATTAATTAATGGTTGTTACATTGCTTAACTTTTTAATTGCAGAATGTTATGTGGTCACTCAGAGGAAAAACTTCCCAGAAGCTCATGAAGTGTGGAGTTCTTTCTCTAAACTCAATGCTAAGGTAAAGTTGAAAAACAGAAGAGGAAAAAAAAAAATTTTGAATCTCATTAAAACCTCACAAAAACCCTATCTGACTCCAAAGCCATGCCAGTTCCAGCATACCACCTTCTGGGGTCAGAACACACTAATTTCTGTGTTTTCAAATAATCTCAGTTCATTCTCTACCTACCCTAAGGATGTAAGGCCCATTTATGTTGACTTTACAGATGAAAATACTGAGGTACAGGAAGGTCAGGCAACTCTCCCAAGATAGCACGATCCTGGGATGAAGTGAAAAGAAGAGTGCTGAACATCAGCACGCTCGCCTAAGCTCAGTATCCTTTCTACAACCTGTTCTACGATTCAACGCGCATCGCATTCCTTCAAGTGGGGAACGTAACATCAGGTTTAGGAGAATTAGAAAAAGATGAGGTTAGAAAAAGAGGTTATGTGAGGAAAATCATTTTTAAACAACTACAAACAACAGGTGTTGCCACTAATGATGTTTAAGGAAATGACACCAGCAGCAGAGTTTCCTGCTATATAGATAAAAATCCATTACAAGCATAACTATCTGTACAGCAGAAATTAACGCAGAAACTCACCCCAGTTGCCTGTAGGTGTTGCCTGAATTCATCCATAGTTGTGTTTGAGATGCTCATATCCCTAAACATTCCTTCCAGTTTTGATGTGAACTGACATCCACATTCAGTCTGTAAAAGAAAAATACAAATATACACAAAAAAATAAGGAAATTTTCTATGAAAAAAACATAAAAAGAAATGGTTTCATTTAACTGCCATCCCTGATAAACTTTCTAAATCTTTCCAATAGCCACTCTATGGCTCTGGTTACCGTATTAAGAAAGACTCAATCCAAAGAAAGTATTTTATTGTAAAAGCATATTCCGAGCCTTTTCCAGAAACGCACCAGTACAGCCCATCCCCATCAAAGGTGGGACCTGAATCCTGCATTTCCAACAAGCACTTCAAGTGATGTGGTTAAGTCTATGAACTACACTTTTTAAAAAGAACTAAATGGTAATATTCTTTTTCTTGCTCATCTTGCAATCCTCCCACAGACCTTCATGAATGTATTCTGCCACACACAGAGTATTTCAGCAAACTCTCAATGTCCTAGAACTTGAACAAATGTATGTATAGGCTATAACCTGCTCAAAAACAATCCATCTTTATCAATTTCTATAAATAAGTATTTTAAATCAAATAATTTACAATGACATGCTGCTGGTGCTCAATCATGTGATAAACATTAGTTATATTTCATTTCATCTTACATGTATCTTACCTTTAACTTAGATATCATATTTTTTTCAGAGTCATCAGAAACACTTTTATTTGTGAGAAGTCTCCTTGCCAAGTGTTGTTTATAGTAACGTTCAAATACATCTTTTTCTTGCATAAACCTAAAAAGGACCATTGCTTTATCCAATATTGTTTCTACTTCTTGTTCCGTTAGCTGTAGAATTAATTCAAAGATAATTTATGATGATTATATTTTAGTCTTACAAAAACAGCACCACAATTTAAAAATAATACTGTTTGAAAACAAACATCGAGTAGACAGATCCATGTCAGAGGAAGGTATCCGGTTTGAGAAAGAGTACAACTCCTTCCCCTCATCTAGTGGATGCATCGACAGCTGGTGGGGTGGGGAGGAGCAGACAGAAGTTCTAATCCCTAGAGAGCTATTGCTGAAATTGAGGTATGTGGTGATACAGGGCTGTTTTACGGTATGACTGAGACAGATGAAATAAAATTTTAATAACAAAAGAAGAATATTTTACAAAGTCTTTGTGTAATACTTACACAAAAATATTTAGGCAGAAACTTACAAAGCCAAAAGACCAGTAATTTTCACTTAAGTTCACTCAAAAGCTAAATTTTACAAACAGAAAGATAATAATTTGTTATAAGTCAAATGGCAAAAATGTCACTTGCTCTTATCTTTTAAATGAAGGCAAGATGATACTGTGGCAAGCTGTGTTAAGCATATATTTAAAAAGTACCAGAGAATGAATGGTTGTGTAATTAAGTCTTTTCTACTCTAAATATTCTTGATGATCTTCCTGGCGTGTTTTTGTCACAGCTACCATTTGTAAAACCCATGACCACTTGTTACATTTCCCTTGTCTCTCAGATTAAAAGAGGAAGTGAATAAGACTAACTCATGCCTGATCATAATACACTTAATGTGACTTTCAGTGTTGCAATGAGCTTCCAAGATTGTAAAGGCTTGAAAATGAGCTTCAGTACATGCTTTCACAGTGACCTTCTGATAGCTGCTCTTTTAGTCTGTTTTTTAATACCTGTCATTCAAGTATTATTTGATAAACAAATCAACAGAACTAGATGAAAAAGCAGGAAAAGGTCCATGCTACTGGGCAGTGGTTTTCAAAGACCTTGTTATCTATGCTGTTGTTAGCTACTGGGAAGTCAGCCCTGACTCATGGTGACCCAATGCACAACAGAATAAAATGCTTCTCGGTCCCACGCCATCCCTATGATAGGCTCAGGACTGAAACATTGTGAGCCATAGGGTTTTCATTGCCTGACATTCAGAAATAGATTAGTGGAATTTATCTTCATCTGTTTTAGTCTGGAAGATTCTGTCCAACATCACAGCAACACGTAAGTCTCTGCTCCCAAAAGCTGGTAGCTGCTCATGACAGACACTGGCAAGGAATCAAACCAGCAACCTCCTGCACGGAAGGTGAGAATTCCACCACTACAGTATCACTATCCTCATGTATTATTAATAGCCTATTAAGGGAATCTGCCTTCTGAAGTACATAAAGGAACAGCTACTGAATTGTTGTCAGCAGCATCAGGTAAGTAATGGTACGTCCAGAGATCTATTAGATTCAAAGCAGTAGCTATGATTTATAAAAAAACGTACAAGACAGTTCTGTTTTTACTTAAATGGTAGGAAACCATAGGGAGTCAGACAGGCTTTACCGACAAAAGAGTATGAGGTGTATTGGCCAGGAATCTCCAGCACAGAAAAACAGAATTCTATTGCTCAACCACAATGGCACCTTTTGCTATTTCTAGCATATCTAATAGTCGTAGAGAAGAGTGTTTAACAACCATGGCCAATGTAGTTCTTTGCTTTAGGCATGAATTACACATTAAGTAGAATGTACTTTTGACCATTTCAAGTACTTTAAACAATCCATTTAATAGATGAGAGTGCATATTTAAAGATACTTGCTTACTTTTATACCGATAAAATTTGCCACTTTTATATGTTATTTCTTAAGTATATACCTACAAGTGAAACTTAATGAATCTGCAAATGCTAATACTTACCCCTTTGACCCCCTTTTTCAGCTTATCATCAATAAATAATGAGAGGTATTCTGGGGACCTAGAGTTGAGGTTGAGAAAATACTCAAAGTCACCCGCAATAGTTTGTTTAAAGAGTCGGTCATTATTGAAAGATTCCTGGAGAAAGCGATCAAATCTACTCTTCAAATCCAGTAAGCCCTTACAAATGAAAACAAAGAAATTTAGGATACGTTAAAGTACTTCCATAAACAACACATCTGGAATCATGTATGTTTATCTTAACTTTGTTGGTAAATAAATGTCTACTCAGTGTTAAACTTAGAGATTCTGTATTATTTTTAAACCTGCATCTAATCCCTGTTAGAAATATCAGTGATAAGAAGTATTCTGTTTTCCATTTATAGATTATATTGAAGATGAACAAAAGAGCCTCCTCACCGCTTTTCCTCACCCTCTGGCCACCCTGTCTTGACTGAATGGGTAAGGCAGAGAGAAAACAAGCTTAAAAAAAATGAACATGCAAAAGCTGATTGTTTACATAAAACACAAGAAAAACTCAAGAGCATAATTTACTCACAGTACTGCAGAAGAGCAAAACATTTTGAAACAAAAACTATTTGGCGAAAACATAGTTATAACGCACTGAGGCCTACAAACACTACAGCATATAAAAAACTGGCTTACTTTCATCCCTGAGATTTTTTAAATAAGACTTTCATCAGACAGATTAATAAATGGAAAGGCACAGGTAGGTTTGGCTCCCTGCTATAAACAGGCACATGTCCTCAAAATTCTAAAATGTCACAGATGATTGCACGTAATAATTTGCCAGTGAGCTAATTAAGCCAAAAGTATGTAATAAATAAATTAGTGACAAAGGCCTTTTAGTGCTTATCAAAATTAATTTTATCATAAATTTAAAGAAAATATTCTGTGCTTACTTACCTGGATGTAGTCAACGGGATTCTTTCCTTCCCCTTCCTCAGAAACAAGGGCTTTTCCTTGCTCCCTCAAATAGGAACTCATACACTCACACATTGTTTTCAAACCATTTGGCACACGACTAAATAACTTGTACATGCAAGCAAGGTCTGCAATCAGAAAGAAAATACAAATTGGCTACATTAAAAATGAAAACAAAACGTGTATTTGTGTTCACAATGTGTATTTGTGTTCACACTGATTTGGGATACTCGGAGCAGCTTATCTCCATCACCACGGTTTGCTGAGGACATTAAACACTGTTAAAAAATCACCAATAGAAAAAAAGAAAGGAAAAAAACAAGTTGACAGTTATTTTAATTTACATGGAAGAGAAGATGCCCCACAGCCTACCAAGACAAGTAATCACAACAAATGAAAACTGCACTTTGAGTTCCTACATAATTTATCCCATGTAACTCTAATTGAAACTACTGATTATAATAAAGTATCTATCAAAAGTAAAACTCTAATTTTGGTGCAAACGGTAGTCAATGCAATAATGAAGAAATGTGAAACTCAATTAAGTTTTGTATGCAAAAGCTGGACAATGAATAAGGAAGACCAAAGAAGAATTGATGCAATGAATCATGGTGCTGGAGAAGAGTACTGAATATACCACAAATTGCCAGAAAAATGAACAAGTATGTCTTGGAAGAAGTACAGCCAGAATGCACCTACAGAGAAAGAAGGTGAGACTCTGTCTCATGTACCCTGGACATGATATCAGGAAGGACCAGGGTTCCTGGAGAAGGACATCATGCTTGGTAAAGCAGAGGGTCAATGAAAAAGGGGAAGATCCTCAATGAGATGGACTGACCAATGCCTGTAAGAATGGGATCAAACATAGCAACGATTATTAGGATGGTGCAGGACCTGGCAGTGTTTTGTTCTGTTGTATACAGAGTTGCTATGAGTCGGAACTAACTCAATAGCATCCAACAAAAACAACTATCTCAAAAGTTGAAGTGACAAATACGATACCAAGTCAAATGAAATATAATAGAATTGACTTCTTTATACCTCATGGCTGCAAATTTTACATGAAATCTATAGCATGAATACTATTTCCCTTAGAGCAATCCTTAACATTTTCCAGTTAATGTCCTGAAGCTAATATCTGCATTTTAAAATATAAGTCTATCTCAATATATTGCTTTTCTTTAGAAAAAAAATCTTAGGACCCCATCTATTTATATTTTTTCAAAAGGCAAAAATGTAGTTTGAATGGTACTGTTTTTCCATGTGTCTACTGATTCTGTGAAAAAAAAAAAAAAATCATGTAGAAACTACAGCATGAGAATCTAACAATGATATTAAATAGTTTTTTGATCAAGAATATTTGCACATGGAGTTAACACAGCAGTTCTAGGCCAGGGATCAGCACGGTTGCTCTGTGAGGGGGGCAAACAGTAAATAATTCAGCTTGTGGGTCATGCACCTCTGTAGCAAGTACTCAGCTCTGCCTAGGTAGCAAGCCAACAGCCCCAGACAAGAAAGACTGCATGGAGCACAGCTGTATTCTGTACAATCTCATTTCTGGACGCCAAAATCTGAAATTCAAAATGTTCAGGTATAATGAAATATCCTTCTTTTGACTTTTTTTCCACCAGGCATTTAAAAATGTAGAAATCATTCTTAGCTTAGAGGCTACATACAAGCTAAATACATAGCTAGAAATAGAGGGCAGGCTATGATTTGCCCACCTTGGTCTAGAGTCTAAAACTAAAATTGCATGCATTTAGAAAATACTTACAAGCAAGTTTTACTGTTTTACAAAGGGGCTTGCTTCTAAAATTTGTTTCAGTGACTCTTAAAAGCAAATTTTACTAAAAATAAGTTCTCAATAATATGGGTCCAAAGTCGTCTATACAGAGTCTATCTTATAATTTTCATACATATTTGTTATAAATTACAACTTAATTCTCTATAAAAAATAGATTTTACGAGTAAATAATGTATGGACACATACTACACTAAATTTGGCCTATCAAATATTTGTAATGAAATAAGCTCTCAACTTGCCTTTTTGTCCTTATGTACTTACAAGCTTTAATATTTATGGTGTGTATTTAAACTGATACATTTTTATTGCATATAATTCATTGTATTTAACTGTATGGGGTAGCAGAGAATGTACAGAGAAAATCAAAATACTTGCCATTCAAAAACTAAGTATCATTACTTCTGTAAACACTCAATAAAACTATAAAAAGGAGAACCAAATTAGACTTAATTTTCTACTAAAGCAAATAGAAGAAGTAATGGAGTAAAAAAGCCGAACAAATTTCCAAATAGTGCCTTGAGAAGACAAAGTAAAATATTATACTGAAATATTCAAGGATCTGGAGTTAGAGAATCAAAAAGGAGGAACGTGCTCGTCATTTCTAAAGTTGACAGAACTGAATAAAGAATTCAAGCCCCAATTTGAAATATTGGAGGATTCTATGGGCAAAATAATGAACGATGCAAGAAGCATCAAAAGCTGAAGAAAGAATATAAAGAATATACAAGAAGAATTGGCCAGTGTTGAACCACTTCAGGAGGTAGCACAGGATCAAAAAATGATGGTACGAAGGAAGAAGTCCAACCTACACCAGTAAGATGTTTCAATCAACACATGTAGCATTGGAGATGCTCACTTATGCCAAAAAATTTGGAAGACAGCTACCTGGTCAACCGACTGGAAGAGATCCATATTTGTGCCCATTCCAAAGGAAGATGATCCAATTTATCGTACAATAGCATATGAAAATAAAATTTTGCTGAAAATAATTCAAAAACGGTTGCAGCACTATATCGAAGAAACTGCCAGAAATTCAACCCAGATTCAGAAGAGGACGTGGAACAAGGGATATCACTGCTGATGTCAGATGGATCTTGGCTGAAAGCAGAGAATACCAGAAAGATGTTTACCTGTCTTCTTGACTATGTGAAAGTATTCGACTGTGTAGATTATAACAAATTATGGATAATATCGTGAACAATGAGAATTCCAAAACATTAACTGTACTCATAAAGAGCCAGTACACATATCAAGAGGCATTCTTGTTCGAACAGAACAAGGGGACACTGCATGATTTAAAACCAAGATAAGTGTGTATCAGGATTGTATCAATTCACCACATTTATTCTATCTGTATGTTTAGCGCATAATCTGAGAAGCTGGACTACATGAAGAAAAATGTGGCAACAGTATTGGAGGAAGACACATTAATAACCTACAATATGTAGATGACACAACCAACTGTGCTTGCTGAAAGTAAAGAAGACTTGAACCACTTACTGATGAAGGTCAAACACCATCATTCAGTATGGATTAAACCTCAAGATAAAGAAAACAAAAGTCCTCACAACTGGACCAATTTGCAATATCATGATAAATGGAGAAAAGATTGAAGTTAGCAAAGGATTTCATTTTACTTGGATCCATAATCAACCCCCAAGGAAGGAGCACTCAAGAAGTCAAACGACGTATTACATTGGGTAAACTGCTGCAAAAGACCTCTTCAAGAAGAAGAGAGGTATGTGGGAGGTACAGACAACAAAGATAAATCCTTTTGCACATACAGTACTGCGTTGTCAGGGAAGGCAAACATGGGTATAAAGGTGGACAGATGGGTGTTGTTGTGCTGTTTTTAGGTGCCGTCGAGTCATTTCCGACTCATAGCGACCCCAGGCACAGCAGAAAGAAACACTGCCCGATCCCGCACCAGCTCAACGATCCCTGCTATAATTGATCCCATCATCGCAGCCACTGTGTCAATCCATCTTGTTGAAGGCCTCCCCCTCTTTTGTCAACCCTCCAC